TGATAAATCTGTGCATTTTCTTCATCTTAATCGACGCACTGAATTTCGTTGTTGTTTCACTTCATCTTATCTGTTCGCGACTTTTATCAGTCTGTGCATTTTAGCTTGATGGGTTGATATGAGGTGCAGCAATGTGAACCACTATAGAGTGATGCTAGTTTGCACGATGATCCTAACTAACTAAAACAATATTTTTTAGGTTGTCATGATTCACTTCTCCTTTTCTCCCACATTATTCACCTTGTTAAGTTACGTTCCCTTCCAAAAAAGAGTTTAGCACAGATAAAGTAAATAAATGTGATGAGAATGGAATTTTAGAGGTTCGAAAATACTACGTCTCTAAATAAAATTGTCACTGTTAATCACGGATACAAAGCTAATAGCTGCATATTTTAGCTGCAGTTGTGTTCCTGTTGAATGGATCAACCCAAAAAGCAGTACTCATTCAAAACACTGTGTGATCTAAATGAAGACGGAGAACGAAACAAGTTTAGTGTACATAACAATAATAAATGAACAAAAAACGAGAATTACCGGGAGTAAACTGTAAATAACCTGACTTTGGAGGAATGAATTAAGGAACAGGTGATAACACTTATATACTAATTTCTTGGCAGTAGTTCAGGCTTTTCAACTATTTATAATGGTTGTCCAACACACCGAACATCTCAGAAAGTGAGGTATTTACTAGATATAATAACTGTATCAAAATTAAGCACTATCTCTGGTCTATTAAGTTCATAAAGCAATGTATACAGTGAATGAATTCAAACAAGATAAAAAGTAATCAAGACTGGACACTTACATTTTTTAAACTCAGAATTCGACTTTTTGTTTTGAATAAATACCGAATACTACTCATCAGGAATCATCATTTAAGTGAACCAGAAAAAGTAAGTGCAAATGGTACCATTTCTCACCAACTACACATGACGATGTATATACTATGTGAGATATTCTTACGTTTCTGAACATATACTGAAGTTATTCACTTTCATAGTTTACCTTATTTCATGAACTCTTACTTTGTAAGTTCTAAAATGCTTTCATCATCACATTTCCTAACTCAGCTCAAGCTACATCGTTTGATAGAGCCACAAAATATTATCATATTTTCTATAAAATTGCATATTTTTGACGCATAATATGCACTGGAACTTATTCCTAAAAATTTCACATCCTTGCTACAGTAAAAACGCAAGTTTACTTTCCTTAAAAAAGAAAAGGAGAGAAGTTAAGGTATAGCAGACCTGGAGGATTTTAGGCCATGAGCGTAAATGCCAAAGCCTTAAATCAGAGACCAGCCGTATATGTGGTAAATTTCACCTAAAACTACTCATTGCAAATAATTGGGATGAGATTTAACTCAGAAAATAGTGACCTAATGTATTATAAGTAAGTTTGTAATGCAAGGTTTACTGATAGTACATTAATCCATTCCACAATGGACAAACTTCTCATTGATATACATAGTGATCTATTTTCTATATACAAAACAGACCAGTAGACAAAACATCCCTCTACATTGACATACACCATTTTTTCACCACAGACACACAGCCAATGTCAACCCAAACTTCAGTATTTTGTCGAAACAGAAATCAATAAACCAGACACTCATTCTTAACCTTTGTTCACACAAAACATTTACCATAAAACCTGTAGTTCTTCTCTAGTGCAGACAAAAAAATTCGTAAAATACTAAGGGGAATAGAATGTTTAACCCACATTGATAAATAATTGAATAAAACATTAATGATGAACAGTGGCCAGCAGTAGAATCCAGGACGCATGCTTCGTCCTATTTGGGACACGCTCGTCAGCTAGATGTACCTGCCTCCCAGTGGGTGGTGTTGTCCCCACTGGGACTTGGACTCAGGACCGATCGCTTCAAACGCCAGATCATTAACCACTAGACCACCGAGCCCCGATGGCCACTTTTTATACGACGGGTATAGTTTTAGTGTTGTTGCTTGCACTATCCCATAGTTGACTGAACCGAATTGATTGTTCTCTACTCATCATTAAAATATACTTACAACACAGGTAATATCGAGGGCATCTGTACAGGAGCCCATATGCCAACAGAGACCGATCGATTCGGTCCAGCCAACGATAGGATAATACAAGCAACAAAATTGAATAAAACTCCTAAGATTTATGTTAAGTTTGTTAGTAGTCTGAATCGGTCACTGTAAATATAATTTTACTTAAACAAATAAGAAATGTCTTATGATATTTCTGTTTACCTACAACTTCTTTTTCATTGGAGCTACTACTAACATAGTTCTGAATAGTCATCGTGATAATGTGTACAACAGTACACCATTCTACGACTGAAGATTCTCCTATAACAATATTCAAGATTAAAGTTGGACTGATAGATTATAAATCTTACCAATTCAAAGGCTTTTCAACATACAACAGTTAGTGTACATGCTTGTTCTTGCTAACCCTAAACCTAGTTCTTTAAATAACTTGCTTCACATCAAGTAAGAGAAGAAAGCTATGAAGTCTAGTGAATTTTTTTATATCTTACTGTTAACTGTTCATACTAACGCGAAAAACATAAGAACACGCAAAAATATTTCACAATAATGCTGCAACAGTGTGAATATAATAAATTTTTGGAAACCATTCCTGTTGTGTGCACTTGGTATATGAAAGCAAATAAGGTAGCAAGTACGCTAAATGTATTTAGGATTGGGTATGAAAATATAATTAAAATTTGACTCCTTAAGAATTTGGATGGTAGTGTAATTTACCTAGGTAGGTCAATTGTGGTGATAAGTTGAGAGTAAACTCTGTCAATGGTCTGGTGATCACACGTGTGGGGAAGGAAAATTAATTACAAAGTTCAAGGTTGCATTGCCGGGTTAGTGACTGGTTAGTAGAGAGAATGATGACATGATGACGTGACATGACAGGTCACAAATGGAGTGGGTATGTGGTCATTAGATGATTAATATGTGAAAAGAATAAGATAATGGGAGTAGTAAAAAAATGTTTAAGAAAATTCTAACAGGAATTTTAAAGGTTTTTCTTCTAATAAGACAGGAGGAAAACCTCGTCGAAAATAACAGCATTAACACTAATAATAATAATAATAATAAATAATGACAATAATAATGATAATTTCGTTTTTAATTTGAAAAAGGAAGAAAAGAAGAGAGTGGACACGAAAAAGAAAGATTAAGAAAGAAACAAACGGGTTGAGGGAATACCGTTTAGTCAATGGAAGACCAAGAGAGGAGTAGGACTTGGACATGTTCAAATTTCGTTGTTCTTTTAGCTACAGCTTCTACTACATGGAGAATGTGTAAACGAATGAAACATGGTCGAGTCTTCGGAAGGCATTGTATCACAGTGAAAGCTAGTACAACTAGCATCTGTTTGGTGTCCAGTATCTATTAGATGTGCTAGTACAGAACTTCGAATGGATGTGATCTCAATCTTTGCAAACCATGCCCGTAGATATTCTCGTATTCTGACACGGACGTGTCCAATAGCACTCTGTATATAACTTGTTCGACAGGAACAGTTGAATTGCTATATGAATGATGATGAGCTGAAATTGGGTAAGGCGTCCTTAAGTCCCGGATTGAATAATCGTTGGGTGTTAGAGAATAGACACAGATGTCCTGGATGAAACGTTCTGTTTATTGCTCTGAATAGACGTTGTGATAATATTTCACTTAGGATGTCTCCTATAAATTGCAGACGCAGAAAGAAGTGTTTTTTTCTGCATACTTGTCTATTCATAATTTTGCGTACTATGAGCGATGTTTGCTGAATAAACTTCACCGGATGTCCGTTTTCCCTTAGAATATCCTGAAGGACTTGTAATTCTTTCTTCATTCTCGACACCTTTCTGGGAGCGGATCGATCTTGCTCTAAACACTAAACATTTCGTTTGTACTTTATTGGTGAAGCCATCAAAATTCCTGTTAGAATTTTCTTAAACATTTTTTTACTACTCCCATTATCTTATTCTTTTCACATATTAATCATCTAATGACCACATATCCACTCCATTTGTGACCTGTCATGTCACGTCATCATGTCATCATTCTCTCTACTAACCAGTCACTAACCCGGCAATGCAACCTTGAACTTTGTAATTAATTTTCCTTCCCCACACGTGTGATCACCAGACCATTGACAGAGTTTACTCTCAACTTATCACCACAATTGACATACAAGTTAAAGTAATTAAAGGGAGATCGAAATACCTACTATTTCAGTCTCCCATTATTGAAGCTGAATATTCCTCACGGTTTATAAATTGGGTCAATGGGATGCTTTAGCCTACAAAGCTTATTACAAAGTCAGTTTGTAGGTTTAAAAGCCACTCTAATCCAAGCCTTACTGAGAATTCTACATAGTGTTTCTCAGACGCCTTCTTTATTTGGTAGTACTATAGAGGTTTTGAATCATCTATTCACAGTATCGCCGCTACGATTATTAACAGCATTAGCAACACTATTATTATTACTATTATTGTTGATGTGATCACCACCATTATTACTACCATTAATAACTGTATTACTGATATTTTTCTGACGACTCCTAAGGAGCTTACCAATTAATTTTGGAGGATAATTGATGATGAGTAACGTGTCCTCAATGCATCTGGTTTCTTCTCTTAGATCTTCTGTTTTACTAGTAAGCTTTTTAGCTCTGTTACTTAGACACTTTACTCAGCCAATTTTAACTGATTTATATATATATATATATATATATATATATATATATATATATATATATATATATATATATCAGAAATAACCATTTTTTCATCCTAATCTAAATGTATATCATCTAATCCGTGATTCAAGTCATAAGAGTTAGTAAGTCTTGATTTAAAACGGTTTCTAATTGGGTTTAGCACCGTCGCTAAATATTTAGATAAGTCATAAGTGGGAGTGTTTCTAGAGTCTTTTATAGGTCTTATAGGATAACCTGGTTTATGAAAATACATTATAATATTGATAACTTACTTAGGAAGAAATACTTATGCTGATGTTCATAAGGCAAATGCCATGACCAACTGCTTTCGGAACTGGCTGCTCTTATGGGTAGATTTTCACCAACCACAAATACCGGTTCCAATCGTGTATCAGGGTCCTTGTCGATCTATATTTTACATAAAATATGGTGAGAAACTCAAAAATGACAGTGGAATAGTACGAACAGATTACGAAAATTTGTTTGATTCATTATAGCATTCATTCATTATAGCATGAAGTCACTACAAAAATGTTCACTAACGAAGAGAAGAAGTTTTGACAAAACAAGATTTTCACTTGACTAGCTGAGATGAAAGTGGAATGAAAATTTTGAACTGCAGCTGGAGTCGAACCAACGGATACCGGGTTTCTGTCCCGATATTCTACCAACTGAGCTACGAGGTCCAACTGTTGTCCAGATTTTTATTTCACTTGTCACCAAGGTGGGTTTCGCCCGATTACCATGTGAATTCATCAATAATCACCTAGTTTAAATATCAGTCTACCAAACCACAGCTATCTCAGATAATCAAATGATAATCAACATGATGCTCCTCATCCTCTCTAATTCAGTTAGATTTGGACTGGGTGGGATGAGAAGTCCTAATTAAGCATCCAGTGTGGGTACGATCAAGCGATAGTAACACGTCACAACGAATTTACATGGTAATCAGGTAAAACCGGCCTTGGTGATTGAAGTGAAATAAAAACCTGGTCAGCAGTCGGACCTCGTAGCTCAGTTGGTAGAGCATTGGGCCAAAAACCCGGTGGTCACTGGTTCGAGTCCTGCCGCAGACCAGATTTTCACTTAATCTTCAATCATCACCCAGTATAAGACAAGATTTCCACTGCTTACTAATTTCAATAGATAACAATAAAAACAAACTGAATGGAAAGTATATGAATCACAAGCAACGAATATAAGATTAATCAAAGAGAATCCAGTACGTTTAAAGATACAATTATGTGAATTCCTATCATTCTACTATTGTATCTAAATAAAGTAAAGCGATTATGTCATCAAATATTGAAGGAGCCCGCTAGCAATCTGTGTTTCACGGATGGTGTCATATCATGTCTTACTTATTGATTTTCTTAATTTGGAAAAGACTGGAAATCAAAGTCTTGTGATTTATCACATGCAGTTTAGGAGAACAAACATACAGTTTATAACTAAAATTTAAGGAAATCACTTTTGGGGTATATTATTCAGCAATATAAGAGTAAAACTTGTGCACTGTGGTGGAATATAATTCCATTTTTACTGATTTATTAGATTGTCACACAGTGCAATAGTATTGTTTACTAGGTTACGTTTTGGACATAATTTATTGCCTGTAGTTATATCAAGACAACTACACAACTTTGAGACATCCTTTACATAGTCCTAATTTTGTTGCTCCCTTCGTGATATGGATAGTAGGATTTTCCATATATTTGGAACAGGTGCTAAGTCATTCCTGTTGATTCGATAGACAAAGAGTCAGGTTTCAATCTCTCTCTCTCCACCCCACTATGTTAGTTTTAAGGATTTCCACCCTGTCCCATCCCATTGTGTGGTTGTGTGTAGTTGTATGCATAGCTATGGCTGAGCCTTTTTCTAAATTCCTTACCTTACGAAGATCTACTAATTTTGACTTATCTAGATTTTTGGGATCGACAGCCTAATTGACCCCGGTCGACTACTTTCAAATACATGTTTGACCTCTAAAAGGATTTAGCAAACTAATTTATTTTGCTGAACTGGATCAATAGGATCTTTTAACCTGCAAAGCTGATTCCGAAGTGAGTTTGTAGGTTTAAATGCCCCTCCAGTCCCAGCCTTATTGAGAATCCTCTGTAGTGTTTCTGAGGTGCCTTCTTTGTACGATAATACTGCAAAGTGAAATAAAATTCTGGTCAGCAGTCAGACCTCGCAGCTCAGTTGGTAGAGCACCGGGCCGGTGACCTGGTGGTTGCTGGTTCGAATCCGGCCGCGGTTCAGACTTTCATCTCACCTTCAATCATCACCCAGTACAAATGCTGTAAAGGCTTTGAATTCTGTCTTCACAGTATTGTCTCTATTATTATTAGCATTATTATTGCTGCTACTAGCATACGTGTTACTAGTATTAGTCATATTTTTCCTGTGGATCCCAAGGAACTTATCAATTAATTTGGGAGGATAATTATTTACGAGTAAGGTGTCTTTAATGTATCTGGTTTCCTGTCTTAGATCTTCTGTTTTACCAGTAAGTTTTTTGACCCTGTTACTCAGGCAATTCACTAAGCACTCGGTCAAAACAACTACGATCACAAGCGCTAAGACGAAACTCACAGTAGAAGAGACTAAGATACTGAAACCCACGTCTTTGTATGGGGATACTTTTTAGTTCGAAAATAACAATTTTACAGGAGTCACATAATTACAGCAACGTTGTAAGTTTAAAGATCATTCTGGGTGCAACAAATCGCATGGAGATATGCGTAAATGCTGATTGATATGAATATGGACAATAAATTGTGTTTCACTGTGTGACATGTCTAATGAACAGACTAAAATGAAATTACTGACTGATTAGTTTGAAAGAGTACACCGTTTCTCACATGCCTTAACTGAATTTGAGTATGATGAAATGGTCCAGGTATTCCTGCCCTCATTTCTAATCATTATCGCATTGAGTGTGCATCACGCTTACTAATCACTCGAAAAGTTTATCCTATGTAGATTATTTGTTTGACTGCCGTTTGGTTATTTCTCCTCTTCTACCGTAACTGTAGCTCAGTAGTCTTAGTACATGACTTACAACCAGTACGTTACGGGACAGATTCCCACTCCATCTACCAAGGTCTGGGAAATCAGATAGTATCATTAGTCGTGTGTGGCCCATCGTGTGAAGCTGCTGAATGCATTTTGATTTCGACTGTGAATGTACATATACAACCATTCAGCATCCAACATAATTCGAGCAAAGCGATATTATTATCCAACTTATCCATTTAACTTATATGTGCCTTTCTTTTCAAGGTCAAACTAGTATTACTCTTATTAACACTGAACAATATTTCTAAAATAAAACTCAAGATCGACTGTGGATAAACAGTTAAAAGAGGATGGAGTGCCCGTATATTCCATGAAATTAGGTTAAAATAAGAGACAAGAAAGAGACCAAAGTTAGACTTCTTATAGAAAGATTAATAGACTACATAGTAGGTCATTAGGCGAAAATTGCAGAAAAAACAAGGGTAAGACCCATAAATGCCTTTATAAAATAAGTTAAATGAATACAAAAACCTTACATTATTTCAAGTTGTTATTAATCGTAGACTGACATCAGTTGGAGGAACAAAGGAAACCTGGGAGCACTGGACAGCTGTTTGGTCCTACTGTTCCCCCAACTGATGTCAGTCTACGATGAATAACAACTTGAAATAATTCCAAATCTCCACAACTCCCTCAAAACCTTATATCATTATTAGAAACACTGAAAAATACAAAATTAATAGTACCGAAAATTTTATGATAAGACTTGTAAACTAAAAGTTATTGGATATAAAACCATATAAAAATATTTTCTATTCACATAGGATAAAGACTGAAAACAAATCTTGGTGACACTTACTTTTAGCAAAATTAAAGAGTCTATAAAGACATGATTAGTTCAAGTAATCATGAGAGCAAACTGTTGAACAAGACACAATACCTTAACCAAGCAAACTGCGATAACATACCAATGATCTCACATGTTTCAATACATGTATAATTTATAATATATGCATTACCTTGTGACGAATTAAAATTAAGTTCTAACAACAAGCATCACATCAAGTACAGCAGGAAATACAGGAAAGTGTGAGAAACAAAGGTGATTTAAAACTATATTTCTTTTCTACAAGAGAAGTAATTTATCGGACATAGATAAGTCTGTTGAAATAAAAGTAGAAAGCTGAGCCAAGATGATGCATGCTTATTATTAATCATCCTAGATGAAGACATATTTCAGCAGTGAAGGCGCCCTAAGGTGCAAACCGAGGTTAAACTGAAGGAAATTGACACTTTTGAATACAACTGTATGATACAGCCTTGGTAATATCGTTTATGTCTTTATAGGCTCTGAAATGATTGTAGAAATCGATAGACTTTCCGAGAAAGGCAAAATAAACCGATAAAGTAACCAACCAAGATGGACAGAGATATTTTTGCCTTCATTATCGTCTGATGAATTATCAAGGATTAAAGTAAGAAAGCATTCTGATCGTACACTGAAGGAACTCATTACTCTTCATGAATAGTCTTATTTCATATTTTATAACTACTTTCATGGCAAATACCCGTAATTAAAAGCACTAGTAGACGCCTTGTCACTGTAATCGATGATGTGTCATATGATCTGAACTCTAGGACATTGAAGGATTCTCATTGTCCATCTATGAAGGTTGAAAAACTTTGACTTCAAGCCAATACAGTTCCTGAGGTTTAGGATGCCGAAAGAATGAATAGTTTGTCAATGTATACTGGCCAACTGTTATATTAGATTAGGGTCTCTAACCCTGCCTTCTAGAGTTTCAGCTCAATTCTAGATTATTCATAAGGACAAGACATTAACTTAGGTTTAGGAATCCATTTACGGATATTGTTCTAACAATTTATGATAATAGTAATGATGGATAGTGACTAGCAGTAGAATCCAAGGTGCGCACTTCGTCCTATTTAGGACCCACTCGTCAGCTAGATGTACCTGCCTCCCAGTGAGTGATATTGTTCTCACCGAGATTCGAACTCGGGACCGATTGCTTCAAACGCCAGAGCGTTATCCACTAGATCACAGAGCCACGATAGGCACTTCTTGTGCGACGGGTATAGTTGTAGTCTGGTTGAAAATGAAAATTAGGAAATAGGAAACGAATATCGTAAAGAAACTCACAAGCTTAATAATTCTAAACAAAATATTAAAAACCATTTTTTTTAGTTGTTTGCTTCACCGTATTAACATATGTTTGATAATGTGTGCGATTTCTACCATTATCTGACCCGTTACTTGGATATTTTTGTGATCTTTATTATCCTTGAATCATTTTGTGTAGAAAAATTTATGTCTTACCAAGTGTCATCAGATTCCATACTAAACACGGATGTTTTGAAGGTAAGCATATCGTTCAAACTTACCAACTTTAGTGTTTGTAAGCTGGAGTAAATCATTCAAAAGACAGGTTTTCCTGAGAGACTCACAATGAACCATAACAATCAAAATGTACTACAGTTAACAATGAAATACAACTCACTACATTGGGTTTTGCATGATGCTGAGAATGCATATGATTCCACCAGTGACAAGAGGCTCCTTTAGTGAGACCAAGTATAATTTCATGGAAAATATGATTTCTTCTAGTACTCTTAAAAACCGATAAATGTCCCAAATCATGTTGTAGCCAACCAGCTTGGGTCTGAAAAAAAGTAGGAAAGTACAAAACAGAAAGATGTTGTATAATGGTTTTTTTGAATCATTTTTCTCCAAAATTTCATAAGTAAATTACATTAGTTTCAGGAAATTCTAAATGTTCAGTGTTAGATAACAAGTTATCTCGGTTTTAATGATGATTCATTTGAAATATATACGAAAAACAACCAAAGAAAAAAGCAATGCATTACACTGAGACATATAGAACGTTTGTATGTGTCATTCAAGCATTTGGTTGCAGCAGAAACAAAATTTCTACCCATCTATACATTCTGATTTCTTTACTCCTTGGATAAGATATAAATGTCATGTGGACTTTGCATTTCAAAACCTGATCCTCTCAAACCAAAACTATATGCTTACAACGTAAATAAATTCAGTGAAATAATTGAAATATAAAGCTTGTACTATCTAATCACATAAAGAAAAGCTCTACTTAAAAATGATTTAGCAAACATAAACAGTAGAAAGTACTCTGTGACTCTTAAAGTTTCCAAAAAAACTATTACATCTATATTTTAACCTAGCAGTGAATATCCCTTGAGCGTAGGTTTGTGAAAAATTAATTAAGCAATATTTAACTTTTCTACGTTACCATTAATATAATCATCATGACATCACAGTCAATTTCTAGAATACAAATTCACTGGAGAATTAAATACCAGCTGTTCATAAAAGTGGCTATCCAGTTCCTAAAGAATGCTGTATCCCTAAAAATCATTTAACAGACTTTTATATCAACGTATGGCAGCCAGTCGATCTGAATGAGTTCGAAGTATGCAATAAATCAGAACTGCTGAACTGTAATTCACTACCATAGGTTTTTGTAATGAGTTTAATCATTTCACTCCACTAATTTTAAGCCACCATATAGTAGAAAAACACCAAAAGATTATTAAAACATAATTCAATCGAAAAAAATTATTTTCCATCTTGATGGAAACTGTTCAGAACGAGATTGAACAAGCCTGAACCCTTTCCATACACAGATTTGTTGTTTTAAAACTGTTTAGGTCACTTGAATGTATTAAATATCTGTTACTTGAAAAAATTCAGGTATTTTAGTACTTCTATTTTTGTTAGGTCTAAAGAGAGAAAATATTCATTACTAAGTAGGAAATTTACTATGCATATGCCGTTTTGCCAAAGTCACGCCTAGTATAAAGATCAAAATATTAACATTGACTATGTAAAAGATACTGTTGAGCATTGTTTCGAGTTGATATTTAACTGACTTACTGACTGATTTTATTTAGCTTGTTTCACATAACTCAACTGATAAATAGTGAACAGTGTCATGCTCTTTCATCGGCAGCTGAGTTGACCAATGCACCTGTAGTGCACCTTCCTGGCACCGAAATGCGACTAGGGTTAGAATAAATCGATTAAATTGACTAAATAAACTTGTAGCTTGCCTCCGGATGCTTAAGGTGTTTTAAGTTTTGTTTTAACGAACATGCATCCGAGCAGGCTTCGACGACATTTTGCGCTCCATTTGTGCTGGTTAACACGCACGTTCTTATAGTCTCTAGTTCAGCCATACTAGCGAGATAAGTTGAATAAACTTTTCCCCTAATAATTACTACCACATTTGTTATAACCAAATATATTGCTTTTTTGAATATATGCCAGTCCTATTTATTTGTGCTTCGTTATCAGTTAGGTAAGGTACTGATTAAGCAGGTACTAGAGCACATCGAGTTAAGTAGGGTTGGTTAAGCGTTATGTATTAGTAACACAACCAGCAACCCTTACACACTCACGAAATAGTTATATTGTATTGCTGCTGCTTATCAGCGCAACATTGCCATTCAAATGATTAGGTTGCGACTTACACCTATAGGATTTGATTTGACACAATAATCAATCTCATACTGCATAATTCTTGATTGAGATCTTATTCCGTTTATCGGGTTCACAGATCTTTTTAAATGAATTTTTCTGTCTAACCATCTGAGTAACATTCATTTTGGTTAAAACCAGTTTTCATTCTTAATTGGAGGGGTAGATACTGTGCCAGTATTTTGTCAGTTTTCAGGGACCCAGTGTCACAAGTTTTGAATTATGCTTGCCTATACAAAAAGCTAATGTAGATAATATTGGTTACAGTACTAGGAATAATACCAGCTATTTGACAAAAATTATTCTCTAAATAATCATTTTGATTTGCCACGATTTTTTTTCATATCAAACACTAAAGTAACTACACTAAAGGGAGATTAATCGTCATCAAGTTAGTGATTTTCGAATTGCAATTCCAAAAGATGAACGGTGAATTAAAGAGCAAGCGTTCATGATATTCGTTAAACAATTGTTTCGTGCATCATCGTATTAGTAGAGGTTAGTTTATTCATTTACTCTGCAGGGTTATATATTATACTGAGATCTGGATTCTTATACCAAGGTACTTTCCTCAAAACATATTACCGGTATTGTGTCACTGAATATTAAACATACGATATATTAAGAGGATCAAGAACAAATCTGTGATTATCCCGACTGAGTACAGAAAATTATCTCAGTCATGTTACACATAATCAAGTCTGACGTAGATTCTTCGTAATCATCAAGTAGTCTGCTAAATCAATTAAAAACATTGGCTAAAGATTTTAATTAGTTTTTGAAAAAAGTGTTGTTTGGAAGATATTATTTGTCGAATGAATATATATTCAATCAAGACACTGCACTCATAAAGCAAACTTTAAGAACCCCTCGTAAATTTATGATTGGAGAAGTAGATGCTAAATGATGGTTCATATGTATTGTTTGGTTACACTAAGTGCTCCCAGTGAAAGAGTAAGTAACACTTTCCGACAACATGAAGTTGAATTTTGGTGCTTTATTTACAAAGTTAGATAATATTCAAATGAAATTTGATAAGTTGAGTATTTAAATCAGGGGTTGTTTGAAAAGGCTCAAAAAGCTGCCTAAGTGAGTCTAAAATCCTTTAAATTACCCATACTGTTCCACGATTTTGAGTGCATGGATCACATACATCGCAGCATTCGCAAAACAAACCAGGAAGATTCTTACAAATATTCTTATTAGGCTACACAAGCATCCAAATGTGTGTCACAATACCAGCTGAAGTTGCATTGTTTGCAATTGGTGAACAGCAACGATCAGATTTTATTTACTGAAGTATGCTTGTACATATGAACAGTGGTCAAGACTGTAACTAAACTTCATTGAAAGATACGAAATGACCAGTCCTTATCTAAATGAACAAATTTGCGACAACGCACTCATATGGGTTCTGATTGTAATGCAAGGTGAAAAACCTTACACATAAACTGGTACATAGTCTATGTAATAAATGTGAATGGTGAAGGAGACTTAAAACAGAGAAACGAAGAAAGCAGAGGTGATAGGCAACAACAAACAGTTATCTAGACTCTATGTTAGTAGCCCGTAAAGCTGTGTCAGGGGATAGCAGTTTACACACAAGAAAACTAGCAAGATGAGCGGAAGGTTTTGAAAAACAGTCCAACTGACCCCCTAGTTACTTCCTGGTTGTAATAGGAATAAAAGTTTGGCCTAAAACTTCCAGCTCTTGTTTACTGCAGAAAGTTGTAAGTAATTAAAAGCAATAAGTTCTGATAGGCTAGCACCAAAGATATTTAAGAACCGTCGCTCAGTATTATCAACCCAACTGACTAAGGTATTAGTATATATGTGATAATAAGCTATGATATCACTAACTCGTCTCAATCTTTGTATCAGTATTTGTGACAAGTATCAACTCATTAGGCTGATCGTCATTATGGCTCAGATCCCAGATTCTATAATTTTTTGACACCTGACTGGGGTTCGAAAGCAGTAGAATTGAGAAAATAAGGCAGATCTATTCTTGTGTACATCATCTACATCTTCATCTTTCGTCGAATCCTAGAATAACAGCATACGAAACAGTGCTAGCTATATTTATTGACTTAAATACAGCATTCTCAAACGTTCATTTAGGGGTTTTAAGACTGTGTAGTCAAAAGGGGTATGCAGGAAACACACTAGTCTAAAAAAGCTCTACACCCGAAAACATCGTTGTGTTGAAGCCTTCAATGAAATACCTACTGAGATATCTATATCGGGTGATATCAGCTAGCGGTATCCATTTTCTTCGTTCTTATTTAACCGGACAAGCACAGAAATCTACTGGGAGAAAATTGATATAGGATCACAGCCTTTAATCTTTAAACAATAAATCTAAAATTCGAATCTTTTACTACATAATTTTTTATACAAACAGGCAGATGGATAAATGAATACGGAACTCTGCAATGAGTTGCATCGATTCACCCTTCCATACTTCTAGACGGTAGATAATAAGCGTGCAGAAATAAAGTGACTTTGTGATGAACAAAAGTGGGAAGAGACAGCGACCAAATCGAGTGGTAATCAAAGAAAATGTTCACGAACAGTTTTCTATTCGATGCATTTACTATTTATGAAGCAACAACTTACATGCAAAAGTGAAATCAGTAAACGACAGTTTGAATGTTAAAAACAATGTAAAACGTGTTCCTAAAAATTTGGTAACTGGACAGAGTAAAATGCAAATGAATTCATCTGATATCGTTCATGCATAAGAAGCTTATTCAAAACTATAGTGCACCGAATATTTAATTTCATACTTTAGTGTATTAGTTGCAAATGAGTTGGAAAACCACAAAGTTACAGCTGACTGACATAAGTTCGGAAAAGATATTGACAAATGAGTGCTCACAGGAAAGTTTATTACTTTCAGTCACCACACTTAGCATCAACAAATTAAACATCCATACCCCTTTCTTCTCAAAAGTGTATGTAAGTTCAAAAGGATTCACATTATGTCACCCATCACCAACTTCTCAATTACTTCTTCTTGGAGAGTAATCTCAGAAATACTACAATTGGTCTGCTATCGAATGAAATGACCTTGACTTTTATAATGCATGTGTAATATGTAATACACAATCTTACTTTGCTGAAGTAACCCAAATCTTGGAAAACAAATAAGTCAAATTGTAAGTTACAACGTCTAAAAGCGATGTGAATTACTTACCTGAGATATAGCATAAAGTATAACCGAGATAATTATTCGTGGCCAGCTAGTCCCAAAGTATATCAAATTTAAATACGCCAGTACTTCAAGAACAAACACTTGGAGCATCATGGTACCAAAAAATAGTTTATCGCTTTCGAATAAGCCCTGTTGTAAAAATCATAAGAAAAAAGCTTAATGAACATCATCTCATGCAATCGTACAAATAAGATGTGAATAAAGTATAAGATAATTAATTATGAAAGTTAATATAATACAGCTTGTACACGGCGTTAATATAAATGAAGATTATTAAACAAGCCATTCATTATCCGAATATTGAAAAAAATGTGCTGAATGTGAAAAAGCTGGTTTTTTGCCTTGAAATACCAGTTTATTTTCAGTTTTTAGTAGAAGAATCAATCTACCTACTATAGGAACATATTTTAAAATGACTCCAGCGTCCAGAAAATAAAAAAAGATATTTCTGAACACTTCGCCGTGTAAGCCACAACTTCTTTAGAAAGAATATATGGATTCTTAATAACATCAAAATATATAGTAAATTAATACATAAAATATTTAGTGAATGAAAGTCATTCGTTAAGTGGTTTTGTGTACAGCCTGAGTAATTAAGATTAGTCATCACAAGTTCACATTTGTTATTATCATTTGTCAAGGAAAGTGTAAGAGAGTCAAAGTGTTTATGATCAGTTTAAGGCTTAGTTGTAAGATTAAAGTTGGCAGGAAAATGTTCCGGACAGTTCCCATATTTGTTCATGTTGCTGAAGATACTACAGAACAGTAAGTTATTACTATATCTTTTACATGGCATATCACAAAATAATTTTGCAATACTTTAGAGCGAAAACACAGACGATTTCCCTCCTAAAACAACCTTTAGGCTTAACTGAAGCGACCACTATTGTTTAAGATGAGTGTAAAGTCATCATGTAGTATTAAAGTTTAGAACGATGCCGCTACCTATTGGCAGACTTATGCAAACTTATTAACCACAAAATGCTGGTTGCGCCACCAGCAACGTCCATTTGAGGGGTAGGGTTACTAGTGTGCTACCATTCTAAAGGGATGTTGCAGTTAGTAGAATGATACTAGTGTTGGGACCGGATATCCATTCGAAGCGAACTGTTGCTTGCGGAACTGAAATTCCTACAATCACACATGAGTTATGCGTTGACAAATCATAATATTCATTAATAACACAACAACACTGTTAGATATGACAGGGATGAACCCTGTATTGTGGTTTCAGAAGTTTGCTGATACTGGTTGCAAAATTCCTTGGAACTGAATAAAAACTGCATAACTAATAAACTGTTTTTGTGGTTAAATAGCATATAAGGCACGGCACCCAAACTTTGACTGCTATTGTCAAAATTTTCAATGCTAACCTGCTTCATTAAAATGCTTCGAATATTCTCTAGATCTTCAGAGTATTCCTGGCGTCTTACATTGATATCCTTGTCTTCAGCACATTCTACGTCCAAATCCCCAATATAATACGCGCCCAAAAACTTTTCAGCATACTCGCGGTTCTTATGAAAGGCGATAAAGGCATCCTAGACAAGGAATTACTACTGAAATACTGTATAATACTGTGGCGTCTTGACCAGCATAGTGTCCAAGTACTTTCCTTCCTCCTGGGTGCCTATTTTGCCAATTTGTCACGTCATAAACCTTGTTGTTAATAACTATCCAGCGGTCTTTCAAAGACTGATGCTTCTTGACTTCTGTCCAGTTGAAAACCTGCTTTACCATTCGAAAACGAGCAACTAATATCAAAAATGCGCGAGTGTAACGACATACAATCGACAATATGTAGTGTCGCTAAACACGTTTCAATTCAATTTCCAATTTTTGTTTTTCAGGGGAAATCTCCATGATTATAGTTTCTTGAACCAGCCGTGACAATAGTTCAATCTTTGTATATCTAAATTCTCTCATGATCCGTTTTGATACACAACATTCATAACATGAGTAAACGCAACAGATAATGAAATCCAGAAATTAGATTTTGAGACCTGATGTTCATTTCTGTTCCTTATTTTTTGACCATGAACAAGAACTTTCTGAAATCACCTAAGTGTCTGCTGGAAGCACACAATTATTTTGCAGGAAAGTTTTATATTCTCTCGTTTAGCTAAGAAACGAAGCTATGAAAGTAAGGGATATAACAACAATGGTGTGTTATCAGTACCTGACTTTTAAGGTACATATAAGTGTGCCTTTACGAACTGGCAGGATTAGTAAGTCTGAAGTGTTTATCTTGATGTTAGGATTGCCTGAACAGTACTGGAGCGTAAGTTTCACGGTATGCATCTAGTGAACAACTATGATGATAAAAGGATGAACATGTAGTTAGCAATATCCACTATAGTAATGATGGATGGTGGCCAGCAGTGGAATCCGGGATGCGTACTTCGTTCTATTTGGGACTCGTCAGCTGGACGTACCTGCTTCCCGATGAGTGATGTTGTTCCCACCGGGATTCGAACTCGGGGCCGATCGCTTCAAACGCCAGAGCGTTATCCACTAGATCACAGAGCCTCGAAAGCCACTTTTTGTGGGACGGGCGTAGTTTTAGTGTTATTGCTTGTATTGTGCCGTCGTTGGTTGGACCGAATTACGAATTCTCGCCCACCTTAACCGTTCTAAAAGTGCCACCTACCATCAAATCGTGTTCCCTTTATGTACTCGTGTGCAAGTTACTGCCTTCACTTCTACTCTGTAGGTTGACAGTAAGTACAGTTGTTTATGGAGGATGATGCACAGGAATCGAGGTGAGTTAATTGAGACTTTAAATTGCGGTAGAACGGATCTAAGACTGAAGTTCTTACTTCAGAATATGCGCACAGAGAAAACGGAAATTACGTAGTTTGACACAGAACGTTACAACAATTAAGAGTGACTTTTGGCCCCACCGTTTCCACAAGGATCGCTATAGTGACCGTTCAGTAAGAGTTCTTTCTTCAGATGACTTGGATCATTCACTATCCTGCAGTCCGCTATCAAGTCGCTGCCTAAACGATGGTAATTTAGAGAGTATGTGGTTAATCCTCTATCCATCGCTCCAATAATTTTCACCATTTCACCCACGACACCGTTAGTGGCCCATCTCTAGGTTTTTTCCGTCAGGTCTTCATCTCGTTCCGGGTGTGGTGGTGCAACGATATTGGAAACCTCTGAGTGTGGTCGTGTACAGGTTTTGTAATGCTTCAGAAAGAGCTTCGGCTAGAGGGCATCCGGTTGTTTGCGTATTATGTGCAAATTCACAAACGTCTGCCAGTTACCTACGAATCTTCAGAACCAAGTGTTTGTCTAAACTTTACTGTAAGGCTGGCGCTAACTAACCTACGACACCTTGCCATGAAGATTAAGCCTATATTGCAACTCTAATTCGAGAGAACAGACTGGACTTAATACTGGCAGTTAATGAGAATAATAATAACGATGATAAATATTCCCAAACTCTTTGGTGCACATAGTTTTTACGAATACGGTGTTCACATTTAGTGGCGGAAAATCCCTCCTAATGTTCCTTACCATCTCCCCTTAATCCCAGGTATTGGAAATCCACAGATTGAATGGATGAGGTTTTTCATCACATACAAATAATGTACTTTGGGTTGCATGTTGAGTTTCTATGCCCCTTAATACGTACACTGTTTTCCAGCAGGAGTGAAAATAGTGTTTAATGAACATGTAAAAGCATCATGCAAAGAAGGGGAAGCAACCCAGCAAGATTCATTCTCAAAAAAGTTTTTCTGGCCTAATTACTCAAGTGTTTTCATCAGTGAGATCATAAATGAAAGGAAAAGCACCGCGGCAGGTTCTGTGTACTATCAAAAGAGGATACGCATCTCCAAGTTTATTGCAGTACAGACAGCGATAAATAATGCTGATAATAATACAATACCTCCTTGATGGAACGTCCTATTTTTGTCTGCTCGTGCTAAACTGAGGGCACGTACACCACGGCTTCCATAAGCCTTATCCTTGCACTTGACCACTCGGTAAGTAAACACCAACTTCCGTTTATTTCGACGTCAACCAGAAAGTTCCATACGCACAGATAAGGTTTCGGATATTCTTCTGCATCTTTGTATACTGTTTACGGCCGCAGCGTACGAAATGGCACTAGTCAACCATTCGGAAGTAAAACGTTGCAGTGAGTGCATGATTTGTCGTGACACTGGGTGATCAAGTGCCAAGAGCTTCGTGGAAGGGCCTTCATATGATGTTATGCGGAGGCTCATTACTGGTTGTATGATTGTGGGGGAGTTGCTGGGAGACTGTGGCAGTAGTATTTAACGAAAGTACTGATGAGATAATGTAGTTCCAATCTAACTGCAGGTTTCCAAAATTCACTCTGCCTCAGGTTCTTCCAAAAGGTACATTCGTGATCTGGCAAAGCTAACTCATATAGACAGTCCATCCGATGTTTGGTTCTAAATGTGGAGGTAAGATCTGAATCATTTACTCTATAGCCTGAAGTAAACTAACCAAACTGTCTTGGAAACTAGGTATTCAATCTATCTAACAAATGCACTAAATTATTTCATTACTGTTAACTCTAATACTAGGAATTGCATTTCACTGGAACAGAAAAAAGGTCTATCGTTTTGACGATCGAGGATAATCGTGGTATGACAGGCTAGTTTTATAGTGACTGATGACCAGAGGCGAAATGAGAATTTGGAGCGTGGTAGGATTTGAACAAGCGACCACCACGTTTCCAGCCCAGTGCTCTACTAGCTGAGTCACCAGACCTGACATGGGGCCATATCCTTATTTCGCTAAAATCTTATTTGAAGGAGCATTGAACCGGAGACCCGGAAGTTGCCGATTACAATGCCACCACAGCTGAAGATTTTGTTTCTCCACATATCATCCCCCAGTTGGAAGGAGACCACCTCGTTCGCAGTTTGAAGCATTTTAATGATATCAGTTCTTTAAATTTGGAGAGAAGTTCAGAAATGAAGGCTCATGAACATTTTCTGGGCTTGACATAGCAATACTTACATTCGCTACCAGTCTTTCACAGACAACGGTTTCATCTAGGCCGCTGAAGAAGAGAATGCCGTGCATTTATTGTACTATCCCCGAAGATAATAGGCTGCAGATGAGAAATTAACTTAAACTTCGGTTGTCATTCTATAGATGGTGGACCAGACTGCCGACTTTCTCACGATGAAAAGGAGAGAATGCATTTAGTTACCTTTCTACATATCGTTGGGTTCTTTCACCGATGTATTAGTGACCTGGGCATTACAGAAGATCAGAATGACTGACGTTCAGTGTATCTGCGCCTCAGGAGAAAAACGGTGTTACTACATTCCAGTGGTGACCATCTGCAAGTAGATGAATGGCCTGGAAATGTCATTTTGATTTCTCTAGTTGTTTTGACAGGAGTGCTTACACACCAGACATTAGCAGAGTGATGCACAACAAAAACTGCATAGAGGAGTTTTAATATGGTCCATTTGTCTTTTGTCGGGGTGGACTGATTCTCGTACTTTTTTAAATACTTTAATTGGGTTGAAAAATTGCAACCAGTGCTCAGTTAAGGGATTGTTAATGTCAGCAGACCTCTCTTCAGCAAAGGTGTTCGCTTCATAAAAAAGATATAATTCACACATTGAAAAACGATCTCTAAGTTGGTTCTTTTCCAATACTGAGGTATTGGTTATTACCGGTCATATTAACATAATGAGAAAGACACTTCGATAGGGTGATATTATCTAAGTAGTGAATCCACATCACTCGGACTAAACAGACTCATAACTCAAAGTAATCTGGGCTAGCACCACTGAAATATACCTTCTAAAAGGTCTGGAGCGGAAATCAATCAATGTAAGCAAACAAATGTTCACAATATTGTTCATGTGCGTATGTATCGTACCTACAACAGTTGATCAGTCAATGTTTTTCACTTGCTGAACTCAGCAGTAAATGGGCGGCTGTTTAGCCTCTTTGCCTGCAGTTAGAAATGTATACAGGAATATGTTGGAGGAGAAATTTGGCTGGGTGACTACATGTAAAATCCTAGACTCAGCAGGATTTTGAAGCTTGCGAATTATGAATGTCAATTTCGAAGCGGCTAGAATGGCATATATATATCATCGAAATTACATGTCTGATCACTCAGATGGTCATAGAGTCCGACATAGAGACCACTAGATCAGCACCGTTTAGAATGACTTAAGATAATTCACCGTCACAAAACCCCACGAAAAGAATTAGGTGAAGGGTCTGCAACAGAACTATTCGGAACCAACTACCGCCTCTCTTACATTGTCTGAAAAGAGGGTTCCTACTCCACCATTCACGTAGTTGGTCAGCCGATCAAAGCGTTTAACAGCCATCTGGAGCTTTGACAATATTTTGTAGCACCTCACCCTCACCTCCATGAACCTAAAGTTATCAAGAAGGAGTTTACACCCGCATTCGTTAAAATGCTGGAAAATGCCACATTTAGAATGAAACTGAATCCTTCTTATCATTGGTTAACCCTCATAAAGCACATTAGGACACCAACCGGATGTGGTCATCAGCATGCTTTATCAGTTTTAGACTTAGTATTCTCACATACAGATGACGTGTGCCTCACCCGACTCCCATTACCTCTTGGTAAAAATGATCACTCTGCGATCATCTTCAGATTCACAGCAGACGTCTTGTACCAGGCAGATTCCCTAGCTGGGCCTAACATATAGAAGGCGAATGTGGAAGCTTTTGACCTGGCAGCCTCATTAGAGGACTGGACAGTCAATTCAGAAGCCTCACTTGAAGGTGCATGGTGCTCA